GTATTCAGACGATTTTCGGATATTTAGAAGAATATCAGTAACCAGACAGTTTCTGGTCTCATTGACTTCCATAATATATTACTTTCCTACAATGGAAGTCAATGAGACCAGAAATGGTCTGGTTACTGATATTCTTCTAAATATCATAAAATCGGCTGAATGGGTTCAAAAACAGCAAAACCCAACTGTTTAACTCTGGGGGAGTTGTAAAATGAGCCTATTTCCAAAAAAAAGTGGAGTATCCCTTAAGGGATACTCCACTTTTTTTTGGAAATAGGCTCATTTTACAACTCCCCCAGAGTTAAACAGTTGGGTTTTGCTGTTTTTGAACCCATTCAGCCGATTTTAAGAATAGGCTAATTAAATGTCCAATAAACTGAAAACTATATTCACAATGTGGCTCAACGTTAAATTGTCAGTAAAATTAGGGTGGATATATATTTAATGCAACATTTTATGCTTTACGAACAGTTAATATAGACATTTTAAGGCTCACGCAAACATGCCTGCCTAGACACACACACATAAGGTATACACACACACGCGTGCGCGCATGCCACAACCTTTTGCGGGTGATAATTGGCACCTTTTGAAGAGAAGCTGTGATATTTAATGACTAATGTCTGAAAGTTAATGGTTGTCCAGAGGGGGTCTCCAGCACTAAACATCACTCCACCTCTCTATCAGACTTCTTCTGGGAGAGAGATCGAGGCTGGTCTGAGGAAACACAGAGATACAGGCTCCGCAGAGATAGGGCTGGGTAATAAATATCGATTTCTCGATATTAATCGATTCTCATTTTTATGAACCGATATCGATTCTTAAATCTTAAGAATCGATTAATCATCCTGTTTCTTTTGAATTAATGGAACGTATCGCGGCTGCGCGCATCCAAAAAAATCTCAATAATCTTGTTACTATTGATATGAAACAAAGTCTCAATTTTCAAATTAGGTCCATTTTCTTTAGAAATTCAAAAACATAAATAGCGTTTTGGCGCTGTGGCGTGAGATCGCTCTGGCGCAGCTCAAGAGAAGCAGCAGCGCTGATCTCTCTTACGAGTTAATATTACCAGTCACAGCGCCAAATAAACATGAATGAGCATCTGAAAGTGTGTTAAAGATAGAGTACAACTTATCGAAATCCGTATCATGTCACATTGATTTGCTTAACCGTGGAAAGACGTCAGTTAGGGGCCGTTCACATATCGCGCCTAAAAACGCGTAGAAAACGCTAGGCGCACGCGTTCTCCTTTTTCCAAAGAAGCGCTAGGGCGGTTGCACTCCGAAGGCGTCTGTCGTTGCTAAGCAACCATCAGCTGCGCTCTCCATTACATGAAGGAAATTTCAGCAATGGATTTCCACCACCGAAAAACCTTTGCTGTAACTCTGTTACAAGAAAAATTTACTCAGAAAAGTAAAAAAACGCCGCAGTGTTTGGGTGCACCCCATACTACAAAAACGCAAGAACCATGGGGAATTTCACCAGCTGATTCAGGAACTCCGCCTGGACAATGGGAGGTTCAAAGCCTATTTCAGAGTGGACAAGGACCAGTTTGATTATATTTTAAGAAGAGGTAACAAAAATGGCGAGGAAGCTGATTGGTTGACGTGACACGTGACCTACGGTGCGCTTGCGGCATTCTGAAAAGTTGAGATGTTTTTATCTCGATCCGGCGCGGCCGCGCCGCTTCCATTATGAGCGCGCATACCGCGCGCCTACATTTGAAATAACGAACTTGAGCGCGCAAAAGACGCGATATGTGAACCGGCCCTAAATCAGCTTGTAATCAATGTATCGTCATATTTACCTCAGAAAACCCACATAAACTCGTTAGTCAGCTAGAAAAAAATAACTCCAGAGAGGAGCATTTTGCTAGATATATACACCATATTACATATGCATTATAATCTTAATGTTCTTCAATATTTAATGCATATTTGAATAAATCTGGCAATATTTCATATAAATCTGGCAAAATTTCATATAATCTTCTTATTATAAAAATAAATAAAAGTGTAATTTAAGTGTTTGTATAGCTACAAAACAGTTCATTATTACCTTCATATTAGGCTAATGGAGCCTATTGGCTACAACTAGACTCCCATAGTTTACTGCATTTAAGAGATTTGATTCCCTTGAGAAAAATGGCCATTTATTGTAACTGATATCCAAAATAATCGATATTGAATCGAATCGAAATCGAATCGAATTGCAAGCTTGTGAATCAAAATCGAATCGAATTGTGAAATTTGTCTCAATACCCAGCCCTACGCAGAGATGCTCCATTTTTCAAAATTAAAATACTTAATATGCACACACAGCTACAAGTAAGTCTTTCATATGTTATTTCCCCAGGAAAGACTTAGACCAATGCTTAGTATTTTTTATGTTTGGTCACACAATCGGTGCAGAAATAAAACAAATGAAAAAAAAACAACAACAACAACCCTGTTTAGATCATGTGATATAAGCATTTTTTTATAGTCATTTTTTATCATTTAAATTCTATTCTCTCTGGATATGGCTAACTCCATAGACACTGAAAGCTGTTTGAGGACATCTTTTATTGCTCATCCTCCAACTCCTAATGATCCCAAACTCACTTATAATGATCCTGGGTGTCCTTCAGATCAGCAAGGGCGGCCAGAACCTGTTCACACACACACACACACACACAATCACGACGGCCTTTACTGCAGTGTTGGCTAACTCTCAGACTTTTAAGAGCAGGAGCTATATTACCAACAACAATGCCTTAAAAACTGCAGACAGAAAGCATCAAATCCTTGCAAACTGGAGTTGTAATTGAATATGAAGTGAAATTAGCCTTTTATAAAGTTCCAGTATTATGCACCTGAAGCAATATATTATATAAGCAATAGGTTGACTTTCAAATATCCCCTCATTCACTCTCATTTTATGGCTCAAGCCAGCACGTCTGGCCACGTAATAAACGTTATAGGTTGAGGCACGAATTAGTCAAAAACATTCAGGCAGCACTGCATCAGCGTTGTTAAACAGCGCGACCCTCTCCCGCGGGAAATACAGGCACATATCAAACCAGAAAACTGGAGGACTGTAATCCCAAACAGTGTTTACGCCCCTGCTGGAGAGACTCCATTAGTGCTGGCCATGCAGGAATCAAGCTGGGACAGAGGAAGTTAATTGGGATCAATCAGCCGGGTCCTCGGGGCCGGGAGCCTTAGGCAAGCAGGATCTGATGGCGATTGCTTGAAAGATTTGTTAACCACCGACCGGGTTGTTGGTGAAGCGGTTCAGCGGGTCTGACTCAAGACAAACTGGGAAGGCGAGGGAGAATTCAATGTCACCCCTGTTACTAGAGATACGCAAAGACTCAAAGAGAGCGTCTGGGGTAGGTTGCCGCTTTCGGAAAAATCTGTGCAGGAGTATATTTTAATATAAAACTTTTTTAAAGGAGTTTTGAAACTTTTGCTGATAATTTACTCACCCCCATGTCATCCAAGATGCCCACGTCTTTCTTTCATCAGTCGAAAAGAAATTAAGGTTGTTGATGAAAACATTCCAGCATTTTTCTCCATATAATGGACTTCATTGGGCACCAAACGGTTCAAAAGACAGTTTCAGTGCAAACTGCACACTGTTCAAAGGGCTTTAAACGATTCCAGACGATGAATAAGGGTCTTATCAAGCGAAACGATCGCTCATTTAATAAATAAATAACAAAGTTTAAGTTTTATAAGCTGAAATGCTCGCTCAAATGCACGAACAAATTGACTCAGAAGATTTGTTCATTTTGATAAACGAGTTCGAACAGGAGAGTCACGAACGTGCTTCACAAAGGCGAGCATTTCAGCTTATAAAATTTTTATTAAATGAGCGATCATTTAGCTTGATAAGACCCTTATTCATCGTCTGGAATCGTTTAAAGCCCTTTGAGCAGTTTGCAGTTTGCACTGAAACTCTCATTTGGACCTTGAACCGTTTGGTTCCCATTGAAATCCATTATATGGAGAAAAATGCTGGAATGTTTTCATCAAAAACCTTAATTTCTTTTCGAGTGAAAAAAGAAAGACATGGACATCTTGGATGACATGGGGGTGAGTAATTTATCAGCAAAAGTTTTTTAAAAAGTGAACTACTCCTTTAAATCATTCATTTGTAAAATGCGTGAGCTTATTTTGTCCATATTAGATTGAAAGATTTGAAAAAGCTCATATATTTACCCACCCATTCACCCATAGACGTGGATAAAAGTGGACAAAAGAGACGATTTAAACCAACAGTTGTAAACGGGAATGTGTCTCTCTCGTCTACTCGTGATCAAAATCTTAATGCCAAGTGTAAACAAAGCCAATGATGTCAATGACAATTGATCAAGAGACACTCAAACGAATAACGTGTAAAAATTCCAATCTTTTTCAATAGGACATTTAAAAGTCATTCAGGTTGGGAATAACATGTGGGTGTGTAAATGATGACTGAATGTTAAATATCCCTTTCATAATAAACAGTTTTAAATGCAAAAAAATGGTTTAGATCTTGATTATGATAGAGAAAAAAACTCACAGCGACAGTCGACCACAAACCATCAGCTTAATAACACAATAAATTAAACGGACTCGTAAAATGAACTCAAACACATTGTGCAACCTCACTTCTTAATGAAATCAATATACTGGACGTGGGCCCATGTCTTAATGCAGGGGAAACTAGATTACATTGACTTGTATGTCTTTGTAATTAAATAAAAGCCATGCGGAGGAGCTGCACAGTTATTTACCATTCCATTTGCTCATTGAGGTTCGGTAAAGAGCTCGTGTGTGTACGCAGAGATTGACTTCAAGTCTTTCGAACTGACCTTCATAGTTCATGTGACTGAAAGGTTCTCAGCGTTCATTTTTAATCATTTCTCATTGCATTTTTAATTGAATGAGGATGTGCTCTTGCAATAATGCCATTCATTATTTAAACCTTGTGATGGGAGTACAGGTATATATTTTAGGTTTGAGACTCACGTCTGGATATTCTTTAACAGGCACATAGAGTTTCTCTTGGAGCTGAACGATGGGGCCGACGGCGTCCGGGAGCTCTGAGCTTCTCTTCTCCGTGCTGCCGTTTAACGTGTCATTGTACATGTCCTTTCGTACCCTGCTGATCTCTGAAATAAAGAGAAAGCACATGCACTGTGAGTTACATCACTACGTGATACATAGCCATTACCCATGGATTATATGCGCTTTAATATGAGGAGTGCAAATGCTGTGCTTAAACCTAATGAAACAATGAATATGATAGAGCATCTATAACTGCATAAAGCATGTACCTATATTAACAGCTTTAGTGCCCTGACAACATGGTTATCAAACAATTTAGGGTTGTACAGTTAGATAACTGTGATTATTAAGGGCTTCATTAAACATCCTCAGTGTGGGCGTCATGATTCAGTGTTTTCATCAGAGCAGTTTGTTTATGAAGTGCATTGTGAATGCAAATCACTCCACGTTCACATTAATTTCACGTTCCTAATATTTTTGGCTACTACAACAATCTAATTACGAAACACTGAAAAAGGGGCACAGAAAAAGAGACGACAGCATTTCACAGTTTTCTGTCAGAACAAAGAGTTTTAAACAGAACATTTAAGACAACATAATATTGTTATAACAAATATATTGTACATTGAAATATCATTTTCATTAACACTACTGTTCATAAGTAAGTTATAAATATGAATATTTTTCCGACAAAAATGCTTTGCTTAAGAAGGCCTTAATTTTATAACACCCTGGAGACGTATAGTTTACTTTTTTGATGGATGGATTTTTTGGGCTTCAAAATCTCCGGTACCATTCACTCGCATTATCTACTGGGAAGAGACAGGATATTTTTGAAAGGGCACCTATTATGCCCCTTTTTACAAGATGTAATATTGGTCTCGGGTGTCCCCAGAATGTATTTGTAAAGTTTCAGCTCAAAATACCCCATAGTTCATTTTATAACCATTTGAAAATGTCATTTTGGGGCCTGTTTAAAAATGAGCTGTTTTGGGTGTATACCACCTTAAATGCAAATGAGAATGGACCAGTACGTCTCAGTACATTTATGTACTTATAGAGTTGTAATCGCGTCTTTTTGCAAGTATGGATGTGCAACACAGACACACACAAACACTAACGCTGGCGCAATTTTTTGAAACTACATACACATTCTGTGGTAAAGTTTGCTACGTACAAACGAAATTACAGTTATGATTTATTGAGATTGTAAAAAAAAACACTGGGTGGATTTTTATCATTCTAGGGTGGTTTTGCTCACACACTGCCAACACACATTTATGTTCAAACACCATGTAAAAGTGAATTTTCCATAATAGGTGCCCTTTGATGCACAACATGGGTCTAAATAGACCCGAATGAGTTTTCATTTTCTACATCTTTGCAAGAAATGAATTTCATCATTTAGTATTTCCAGGTCTTCCTCAATGAACTTTGTTTTAGATCATTACAAATCCTTATTTAAATTTTTCCTTTCTTATTTTTCGAATAAAAATCGTTTTTGTGTCACTAAACTTCTAATGCGCAAGATGGGTCTAAAAAGACCCGTATTCATGTTTCTTTGCTGAATATTTGAAAGAAATGTATTTTATCATTTATTAATCCAGGTATTCATAAAATATCTTGTTTTTGATTTCCACAAATCATTATATTTATTTTTCCTTTCTTACTTTAAAAACAAACATGGTTTTTGTATTTCTCCATCAATTTTACACACATGGGTCAAAAATGACCCATATGGAAACTTTTTGATATTTATAAATAGCATAAATACTAGGGGTGGCACGGTACATGAAAAAACACCCGAACCGTTCGGTTCGCTTGTCTCGGTTCGGAGCGCGTGTGCGTCTCACGGTTCGACGCATGCGCAATGTAACCTCGTGCCCGTATGTGACGTGTGTTTTCTTTTCGCGCGACATAAGCTTGTTCGACTTGGACCGGCGCTGCACAGAGCGATCGGTGAATAACATCAATCTAGCGCGAGTCGGCTCCGTATGCATTCATCACTGCGCCGGTTCAAGTTAATAAACAAGCCAGTAAAAGTGGAGTATGGAGCGCTGCAGGTCACGGCACGTGGAGAAATGGCAAGTGGGAGAGATGAGGGAGTTGGAGGACGCGCAACTACAGTGGCAGTTTATGTATAGATAAGAGCTTCAGTCATACGTTTCCAAACCCTGCACTTTAATTTTAAGTGGAAAAAAGTACCCTCACATTTTGGGAATAGAAGCATTGTTGATACTTTTTTTTGTGTTGAGGTTGAACTTAAATATTACTTTATGTTTATGGCCTTTGCTATTGCTATAGCTTAATTATCTATAGGCAATGAGGTTTCATGTATATTGACATTTAAAAGACAGTGTTTTAAGAGTTGCTCTCTTTTGCTTTTAAAAGATAGAATTTTGGTAAGAGCTACAAAAGTTAGCAGTTGATACATGAAAGTTAATTTCTTTGTCTAAATAAGATTTATGTGATAAAAATGCACAAGTTCTTGTATGATAGTGATACACATTCTCCTTTTTTTGCCAAATAAACAAAAAGCATGTCAATTTCTTCTCTCTTGCTGTATCTAAATCTCACCTAGCTTTCCTCTGAGATAGTCCCAAAATGTGCTTAAAGTCAAAGAGTCAAATTCAGTTTGTGCATGATTGCATGAATATAATATATATATTTTTAATACTGTATCCTAAAGTGTGGATAATTAAGCTATATATCACATGCTGAAGTACATTTCTGAAGTGTTAAAGATTAAAAGAAAAAATAACAAGAACCGTACAGAACCGAAAACCGTGACCCTAAAACCGTGATACAAACCGAACCGTGGGTTTTGTGAACCGTGCCACCCCTAATAAATACAGTATATTTACTGCAGAAAACTATTCACCTGCCATTTCACAATTTAACACGGCTGCTTTTGTATATTTCATGCATGTAGGTTTTATTTAATACATTTTTTTGTCACAGAAAATATTTGATATTTTGGGAAGGACATCTAGATATAGCCTAATATTTGAACGTTTAGGCTAAGGTTACTTTGACAATGACATTGAAATCCATTGCTAGTGCAAAAGAGAAACACATCCAATACTATTAGCTAGCTTGCAGTCGACATATTCTATTTTATCTAACAGCTAGGTCAGCAAAATAAAAGTTGCAATAGAAAGTTATATATATATACACAAGCATATATTGTCACTGTCACCTCCATATTAATTTTTATTTGTGGTCATAAATCAATGCTATCGGTCACATAAGCCGTCGTGCAGATGCTGCACATTGGTGGTGGGGAGATCCCCCTACAGTTGCACTACACTACAGTTCAATTTCAGTGTTATCGGTTATACGTGTGACAAAGTGGCCAATAAAAGTATTTCAAGTGTTACAGTAAATGTGTTGATCTAAACAACTGTGACATTGGCTATTTAAACAAAAAGTTTTCTCTATTATTTTGTGTTATCACACTGCATAGATGGGTCATTATAAGACAACAAAAGTGTTTTTTGTCATTGCATGTACTGTAGGTAAAACTGTTGTTCGGGACTGGAACATTTAAAATGCCATAATAGGTGCCCTTTAATATAAATCCGATGCATATAGGTTTTATTTAATACATTTTTTTTAATACAATCCGATGCATATAGGTTTCATTTAATACATTTTTAATATAAATCCGATGCATATAGGTTTTATTTAATACATTTTTTTTAATACAATCCGATGCATATAGGTTTCATTTAATACATTTTTAATATAAATCCGATGCATATAGGTTTTATTTAATAAATTTTTTTGTCACAGAAAATATTTGATATTTTGGGAAAGACATCTAGATATAGCCTAATATTTGAACGTTTAGGCTAAGGTTACTTTGACATCTAGATTGGCTGAAAGAAGAAAGTCATATACGCCTAGGATGGCTTGAGCTTGAGTAAATTATGGGATACTTTTAATTTTTTGGGTGAACTAACCCTTTAAGCAGTAGCAATATAACAATCACAACAGTCCATTTATTCACAATATTTGACCAGATTTTGAGCACCACAGTATAAAGTTCAGACTCACTAGAGCCTGACATCAGCTTGCCCAAAAGGCTCTGCTCAGGATCGACAGATAGTACAATTGAACAAGACAAGCGAAGACCACCTCCGCAAGAACAGGGAAAAAGAAAATGACAAGACGTGGGCTAAGATAGCTTCTCCGTCTTTGAACAGCTGTAAAACCACAAAAGATCTTTCTAAGAGGATATGACTAGCTTCTGAATTTCCTCAGGAGACACGTGTATCCATTTTGCCTGGAGGCCCTGATGGGAGCTTTCTCACAACAGCAACCAGCTTTTCTCTTTTACCCAAAGTACAATTGCATTTTTACAAAGCTCAATCATTCAAGAAAAGTAAACGGCTCCTTATTGTTGAGAAATCATAAATATTATGTCCTTTCTCGAATGCATATGTTGTGAAGCAGGTTCTGGTGACATGTCAGATCAGACATCATGAATGGCCTACTTATAGTCTCTGCACATTAAACTTCAATAAGAGGAACTATTTTAACAGCAAAAATACACACTGAGGTTTACTGAAGGAGAACGAGGCAAGATGGAGAACGGGTAATCACTGTTATTACATGTGATCCTTCCGCCACTTAATAAAGTGAGTAATAACTGTCCTTTTCTGAAATCGTTGTCTATTATTCCTGAGGGGGAAAAAAAAACAGGAGAGAGAGGCAGTGAGAGAGAGAGCTCTAATTTGGTGGGAAAGACAATTAAAACCCACCACGTCAGTTAATATTTCATATAAGACATTAAATATCCCAGTCTCAAGCTGCTGCCACTGTTGTGTAATTCTATAACTGGATGAAGAATTCCCTGGCGAAATTCTCAAAGGCAAATTGAAGAGGTCGGTTTGAGGGAGAGATGTAATTACAATGGAGATCGCGCACTTCCATAGACTCGCAAGGCAAGTAGACACACAGAACACACACTATTGTGTCTTTGCTATGCATATGTTGTGAATTTGACTCCTCTTGTGAGGTCATGGAGAATTTGTCTTGAAATTGTAATTGCATCTAATTTAAACAATTAGAAAAACACGGCAGATGTGGTTTGGTCCTC